TTTATTTATTTATTATTATATTTTTTTGTGGTAATTCAGTGTTTTTTTATGATGTTTATAAAAATGAATAAATATATATGAATAAAGTTTGTTTTGTGTCCTGCGCGGTAACGTGTAGTGATCGCGTTTGCTGCAATGCTCATAGGCAGATTGTCAATAAAGTTGGTTTGCGTGTCAGGCTGGGCCTGTGCGCATGCGCGGTAACGTGTATGATCACGTTTGCCGTAATGCGCATGCGCGCACGGAACAAGCCGCGCGAAAATGAAGATTTAAAAGGTGAAACCAGGCGAAGGAACATAGCTCTTGAAAAAGTCCGGTGGACGAAACGCGTTGAGCAGTGAGGCTTGCCAGCACTTCCCTGAAAAGATCTGATCCTTCCTCTGCCTGGGATTCTTCACCTGGAAGGCAGTGACAGTGGACTTATTTAAAGGGAACTTTACCCAGAAGGGTTAACAAGCGTTTTTGCACAATTTGAGATATATGTCTCTTTGTGCCATCACTTTTGTGAGTGTATATTTTGATTTTTATTCTGTACTTTGTTGTTATTAAATACTTCACTATGTATGTTTTTTATTTTCTCTCCTTCATGTTTATCTCCATATATATATGGTAAATATATGCACATTTTGTGATTGTGGCGCCCCCTGGGTATATGTTTTTTAAACTATACTGCCTATACTTTTGTCTATATTTTGGGAATTGGGAGTGATTCCTTATTTGGAGAGGCTGACCTGCACTATTTATGCACTTTATCCCACACACCGTTTTATGCTTATTTAATAGAATCAACTGTAATTAGTCATTAGGTCAGAGATTTCTAGTGTCCCATTTTCCATCACGGTTTCTCTCCCTGTGTAGAGTGGGCCTCGTGTAGGAGGATAGGGAGATCCAGGACCATGTGTCAGCATATTTATCTTGTCTCCAGTTCCTTTTCCTCTGTACCAGTTGACATTATAGAGCTCCCCAGTGTAAGAATCAGGGAACAAAACACTTTCTCCAACAGCTAGCTTTGGTGGTTCAATAGTAATACTAAGGTAGACTGAGCAGCAAATCTCCACCTGTGAGTACAAGAGATTTGTTAGAAGGTATCTCCGTCGCTTGCTATACAGGTTTCTTTGGTACCCATTAAAGTTCTGCCTCTCGGTGGATCTTGCTCTGTGACGCTCTCTTTCAGAAATTTCTTTCACAATGGCAGAGACTGAGATATAAGGCACTATGTGTCAATCTATGAGGCTTCTCTACTCTGCTTCCTGTCATTATTGTGTCTTGCGTGCTCCTGAGGTTCTTTGCTGGTGAATCTTCTCTATCATGGGCTGCATGTTGTGGGGCCTCAAGAAGATTCAGGAATTCTTTTCCAGTGTCATGTCATCTGCCTGCAGTGGTTAAACTTTTAGGTGCAGGTGGGTGACTTCTCGGGGGTCCAGTGGCTGGCTCAAGCTGATGGAAGTCAGAGTTCCCACTCTGACTCCCTCCTCTCCTTCTCCTCCCTTGAGCTCTCAAAGATTGCTGGGAGAATGTCAATGTATTCAAATTTATGTCACTATCTCTCTCACTTTTCTTCTTCTCTTTTTCTTTTCCTGTACAAGCAGTTCCTATTAAGGGAGTTGCTTTAATTGGAGAGGAGGAGAATCCTTGAAAAGCCTTCGGTTTTCTTTTTTTTTTTTTTACTAAAATATTTCCTTCTCACTTTCTTCCTTTTCATTCTTATAATAATTGCCCCACATAATACGCCTGGAAATTACTCTTCCATTTGAAGAGAAGGTGAATATTCATTAAAGTTTGTATTATGAAAGAAATTTAATTATATATAAAATAATTAATGTTATCTCTAAGTGGTCTATTACACATCAATGTATGGTCTACAACAGTAGTTTCCAGCCTAGCTCTTAAGACACACCTTTGGTCCAGGTTTTGTCTGTGTACCCATTGGAAAGGAATTGAGAAATACCTATATCCTGGACTGTTGGTCTGCATTTTGCTTTCCTAGCTACAGAGATACATCTGTTTGTAATTGATTCCCTGATTCAGTTTTCATTTTTATTATTATCATTATTTAAAGGATCACTATAGGGTCAGGAACACAAACATGTATTCCTAACCCTATAGTGTTATCTAGAAAAACAAGCTGTCTGTTGACATCATCAGAAGTTGTAGCCTGATCCAATCACAATGCTTCCTCATAGGATTGGCTGAGACTGACAAAGAGGCAGCTCAGTTGAAGAGCCAGCATGATTCAAACACAGCCCTGGCCAATCAGCATCTCCTCATAGAGATGAATTGAATCAATTAATCTCTATGAGGAAAGTTCAGTGTCTGCATCCAGAGGGGGGAGATACTGAATGTTTGGATGCATTTTAGGCAGTCATGACCCAGGAAGGATCTCTAACAGCTATCTGAGGAGTGGCCCGTGAAGTTATCACTAGGCTGTAATGTAAACCCTGCATTTTCTCTGAAGAGTTAGTGTTTAGAGCAAAAAGCCTGAAGGTAATGATTCTACTCACCAGAACAAATTCAATAAGCTGTAGTTGTTCTGGTGACTATAGTGTCCCTTTTTTATGTACCCAGAGACGCAACTATTATTGTGCTGTTGTGGTTCGAATATCCTCAAACCATCCCAGGTGTAGAGGCATTATATACCTCATAAAATGGGGAAAAAATGGTTCTGATATAAGAAAATAGTGATGGGATGTGGAAAGAAAGCTAAATCACACTGGAAGTAAGGATCATAATAGAAACTATGCTTGTTAAAAACTTAGACATAAGGAAAAAAAAAATCAGAATCCTGAATATTCCAAAGTAAATACTAAAACACTTTAAAGAATATTAGCAGTTTAGTGTGAACATCTAGGTCTATATTAGGAATATACTGATGAAATATGTGAATGCTGCTTCAAAGTCTTATGTTCATTTTTAAAATAACATGTACAATCTACATGTACGCGATATAATTAAATATGTTTTCAATGTTATACCACTACGTTATAAAATGTTCCAATAAAATGCTTACTTTAAATGAAATTTACTTTAAGTGAAATACTATCCGTTATTCCAACAAAAATGTCTACTGTTATCACATACCATTGTATGCTTTCTGTTATATGCATAATATCTCTGTATAGAACAAAAAAACTATACATAAAGAATTTCAAAAAAATGCCCGCATACCCTATCAGGTATAGAGGCATTTCATTTCTCATAAAGTTAAAAAAGTGGGTTTTCATAGAAGTAAATAGCTATGAAATGTGCAAAGAAAGCTAAAGATCCAGGTGGAAGTAAGAATCCTACTAGGAACCAAGGTTATTAAAAAACAACAAAAAAAAACCAACAAGACAAATAACATTTTTAAACATTTTAGTTTAAACATACAGGTCTCTATTAGCAATATCCTGATGAAATATGATAATACGGATCCAAACTCTCATGTTAAATTTATAAAATAAATGTGTTTTGTTTTAGAGAGTGACTAGGATCCAAATTAATCCAAATAGCAATAACATGATTTCTTTTTGTACCTGTATTGATGCATATGTTGCAGATGTTGCCCCTAGCCCTGATGGGCCTGGGACTGCTATGGGCTGTACTCCAGCGATCCATTTGGGGTTGACATATGTGAATCCATTAAACAGTTTTTGGTCTTTAGAATCTATTGGTTTCCGTGGAGTCTCTCCCTGTGAAACAGCTTCCTCCGTGTTTATGGTTTCTTTTGCAGCTTGTGATGATGTCTACAGAGACAACAAACAATGATGTTAATATATGTTAGACACAGTTGTTTTTAAGGATATTTGAAAGATTAAATGGCGTTTCCATGGTTCCAGATTTTGCCTCATATTCTATCTGGTGATGGTAAACATTTGAAAAGCCATTACCAACATGAAACTGATGACATTTTGCTCCGGAGTTGATTTAATTCCTTAACATCCATTAAAGTCAGCCCTGCTTAGAGGCCCATGGCAATATAAATTAACTGATGGTGCATTTAAAACATATACCTAAGCAAAGTATCGAATAATAAGACAGAATACAGAGATTTGTAAGCTTCCACATGCTATTTACAGAGAATTTTGGCAATTGGGAAAAGGCATAATCTTCATTAAAGGGATTCGATAGTGCCAGTGCCACTGAGAAGACGCCAGCGTCCATAGGAAAGCATTGAGAATGCTTTTCTATGGACTGACTGAATGCGCGCACGGCTCATGCTGCGCATGCGCATTCAGCCGATGACGGGGAAAGGAGGAGGAGAGTCCCCAGCGCCGAGGGAGCCTGGCGCTGGAAAAAAGGTAAGGGATTAACCCCTTCCTCCCCCTACAGCCTGGCGGGAGTGGGGCCCTGAGAGTGAGGGGGACCCAAGGACCCTATAGAGCAGGGGTTCTCAACCCAGTCCTCAGGACCCCCTACCAGTCCAGAATTTGGGGATTACCTGGGTGTGTCTCAGGTGTTTAGAAAAAGGGAAAAAAAACACCTTAGACTCTAAAGTGTTTTTTTTTTTTTTTTCTTCTAAACACCTTAGACACACCCAGGTAATCCCTAAACCCTGGACTGGTAGGGTGTCCTGAGGACTAACGTTGAGAACCCCTGCTATAGAGTCAGGAAAACGAGTATGTTTTCCTGGCACTATAGTGGTCCTTTAAACCCAGATCGACACGATTGCGGGGGTTAACGCTCCTCCGGTCTACCTCAGTATTCGAGGTAGTATTCCCTGCAGCTGTGATCACTTGGACAGGCTGTCAGAGCGAGCACATGTGCTGCAGAGGTTCCTGGTCCACCTCCCTGTGCGCATTCTGTGTGAAGTGCAGGGAGAAGGATCAATGCTGATCTTCTCCCTGCAAAAAAAAAAAAGTTAATAAATTAACCCCTTCACTGCCATTTGATCACTGACTACAGTGATCAAAATACAGATCAGGGTATTTTAATATGATCTGATTTTTTTTTTCTAACCCCTGAGGGTCAACTTTTATTTTTTTAATCCTCAGGGGTTAACGTTATTTTATTAATTAATTTAAATATTTTAAAATGATATATTTATCTAGCTGAGGTGGTGGAAGTTAGTGGGGAATCGGGGAATTTGGTGTTAGAAAATTAAAAAAAGGTTTTAAAAAAAGCTTTAGAAAGTTTTTAAATCATTTAAAAAAAGTTTTTAAAAATCCCAACCCCCTTTACCCAGTCCTAATAAAAATTAACCCCTTCCCTGCCAGAAGATCACTGCTTACAGTGATCACAGTATAATACTGTGATCTGTATTTTGATCTGTTGAAGTTCCATGCAGAAGTTCTGGCCTATTCTACTCAAGGACACTCATCTGAAAGAGATTTTGGGTCCACAAGTTTCCATTACAGCCCGAAGGGGTAAGAACCTTTGTGATATTCTCGTACCTAGCCACTTTACTTCTAAACAATCTTCTAATACTAAATGGCTTGGACGAAAGATTCCTGTAGGTTCTTTTGGCTGTGGCAGATGTGTAGCCTGCAAATATATTCTTAGAGACTCTAAGGAGGTGATGGACAGCGAAGGTAAAACAATCCTTCCAGATCGCTCACTTCTTTAACTGCAACTCAGCGGGGTAGTGTATCTACTTACCTGTAGTTGCAAGTTGATGTATGTGGGCAAAACTTTTCGTCCATTTAAAGAACGTATAAAAGAACACGTTAGATCACCCAAGAATCGATTTGATACCCCTATTTCAAGACATTTAAAGGAACAACATGAGGGTTCTTCTAAAGATATACGTTTCTGTGGTCTAGAGCTTGTAAAGCGAGATCAAAGAAGGGGGGGGATTTTGATAAAATCCTACGTCAAAAAGAATGTAGGTGGATCTATAAATTGAATACCCTTAACCCAAGAGGTCTCAACAAAGGGTTTTCCTTCTCTCCATTTATTTGAGTGACCAGTGCCCATCTTTGCCCTTTCTATACAATCTCTCGATTTCCTGTCTATTTTATACAACTTTTCTACCGGTCTCACTATTTAGTGAATTTGTCTATTTGCTAGTGATCATCTCAGTATACATTATATGGTGTATTTACTACCTTTGACCTTGGTATGTGTACTGCGGGACCCTTATGTGAACACTTGTATTTTACATGAACACATTTTCTCTCTCCCCCCCCCCCTCCTTTCAGCTAATTTATAAGAAGCCCCCTTTCTCTGTATTTCTATTATTTTTATTTATCGTATCCTGTTCCTGCATACCAGTTGGAACCCTACCCTATTACGGTGAAGAAACATTAAGTGTGACTTTGAGACCTTTGGTTTGGCAATGTACTTTATGTTCGCTATTATATAGTAAACTACTAGTTGATAGGTTCCATAGCGTTCCGCTCGGTTTTTCCACTATATTAATTACTCTTGGCACACTGATTGTATGTCTTTACTAATATAATATTTAAATATATTTTAATATAATATATTTTAATTTGACTATATCAGTGTTTGCCTAAGTGTTTCTGAGAATGGAATGTATGGACGTTTCGTCTTTTGTCCTGTCACTATGTTTTCAGTTATGTTTCTCACTTGTCTATTAACCCTCTGGTTTTTATACCAGTGGTAAGGATTATGAATAGCTGGATCTGGGCAGTATTGGTCTAGTGGTTGTTTGATAATTTAATTTAGCATTTACAGCAATTTAAAAGCTGTTTTTCACTATTTAGACATATTGTGTAATTCTGTCATCCCACACTGACTTTATGCTATTGTTACATTTATGGAACTTTTCTGTTACTGTATCAAGGTTTTATTCTCTCCGATGGGTTGGAACAGTTATAATTGGTTTGAGTTATATTTGTAACACTATTTATTTATTATTTTCTCCGCTAAAACACCTCCCCCCTGGGCACACAGAGCAAACGTGGTCATCACGCCCACGTCCTCTGTTTGGTCCAACATGTAGGGGAGGTAAGCTGTTATGTTTTCATCACTGACGGGCTCTGATTGGAGGTTTTTACCTCAGGGGTGTGGCTATATCCCTTTATAACCGGCTCCCAAGTCACTTACCAGGTAGCTCTTGATAAAGGCGTATCTAAAACGCCAAAACGCGCGTCGAGATAATTTTTAGCTAATGCTACTTTACTGAATTGAGTTATTCACTCTACCTTTTCTATTTACCTGGGTTCCCACAGCGCTTGTGATGCGCTGATATTTCTCTCATAGCGATCTAGGGGTATAGATAGGCTGCCACGAAGCCACAGTGAATTGTGCCGCTTACTTTAGGCTAGATAGTTAGTTTAGGGCGACTTAGGTGATCTCTCCTTTCTTTTTGTCTGGGGAGTGGGCTATTTTCTCCTCTATAGGGAAATTCTAGTAACTATAGTTCTGCCTTTATTATTTAATATTTCCTCTTGGATCTCTACCGGCACTATAACCACCACTTATCTATCCATGCTCTCAACAATGCGCTTTCTTAATGGGATTAGACTAGTCTGCGCAGCCACATATTTACTAAATATTTAGGTGGATTTTTCTATATTTTCACCTTAACTATATACTCAGCTGTATGTCTCTATAGGACTAGCTTTCCCAGGTTTTTATAGGTGTTGGCGCTCACTCTATCACTGTGTATACACTATTTTGGGTGTATTTAGTATTATTATTATTATAATTATTTTTTAGCATTTCTTTCCAATAAAGGTTGTTTACCCTATTTATGTGACTCTTTATATTAGGAGGTACTTTTGAATGGGTTAGGTACTCCACCCACTTTTTGTGAGTGGACCCCCCACCCCATTTTCTTTGTTCTTATTATTAATTTTGGGGTTAAGCCCCTTGTACCTCCTGTAACCTCTCTTCGGGGTAGTGGTGGTAGTTTTTCTACTCCATAACCCCTCCTTCTCTTTTTTTTTTGTATTTTGATCTGATTTTTATTGTTTTTAACCCCTGAGGGTTAACTTTTTATTATTTCTTTTAACCTTCAGGGGTTCAATTTATTTAATTAAGTAATTTAAACATTTTAAATGATATATTTTGCCAGCTGGGGAGGGTGGGAGTTATGGGAAATTTGGGAATTTACTGTTAGTGCTGCTTACAGCTAATTTTAAAAGTGTAAAAAAAGTTTTAAGAAAGTTTAAAAAAAGTTTTAAAAAGTAAACAAAGTTTAAAAAAGTAAAAAATAAATACATTCAAAAATGCTCATTACCACAACACCTGGAACAAACTAGAAAAAAAAATATGCCTTTTGAATTACCCCTGGGTGTATTCTTTAATAAATAGTATGTGTTTGTGGGGAAGTTTGAATAACCAACCAGCTAAACTACTCCAAAATGAAACATGGACACAGCATAAAACTACAAAGTTAAAAAAAAAAAATCAATGGCTGCGTCTCAAATGTGTCCCTTCAGCATCCACATATATCTGGCAAAGGTCAGACGACATAGCTGAGCAACATATGAAATATTATACAGCCATTGCACACATAAGATTTGCAAAATATACTGTGCAAACTCACTTTGTGTGTCAAAAAGGCAGAACAAATGCTTATTACCACTTCACTTGGTACAAGCTAGCGGAAAAATTACCCCATGCTAAGGTTCAAAATATGCCTTTTGAAATACCCTAGGATGTCTGCTTTAAGAAATGGTATGCCTTTATGGTATAGTTGGAATATATAGCCTGCTAAAATACTTCAAAATAGGACCTGGACACAGTGTAAAAATTCAAAGTTTGAAAAAGAAAAATGGAATGGCTGTGTCTCAAATGTGCCCCTTCAATATCCACATTTGCCTGGCAAAGGTACAT